AGCTAAGACAGGGAGACGCTGTCTCAAAAATAAGAAATATTTTCTCAAAAATAAGAAAGAAAGGAAAGGAAAGGAAAGGAAGGAAGGGAGGGAGGGAGGGAGGAAGGAAGGAAGGAAGGAAGGAAAAGAAAGGAAGGGGTGGGGGTCAGAGAGATGGCTCAGCAGTTAAGAGCACTGGCCGCTCTTATAGAGGACCTGAGTTTAGTTCCCAGCACCTAATGGCAGCTAACAATCTGTAATTCCAGTTCCAGGGGACCCCAATGTCCTTTTCTGAGTTCTCTGGGGCTGGGGATATGGCTCAGAGGTAGAGTGACAGCCCTGGCTGTGTTAGGACACAGGAGACAGGGAACAGACTTGCAGCCCTGTAGGCATGTGTCACTAGGTTCAAGCTGAGGCATGTGCGTGCTGGAGGCCACTGCCACCTCATCCTGCAGTTCACTGCCCACCTCTGTTCCTCCCATCAGCTGTGATGCTGACCAAAACACACATGGGCTTCTGACCCTGAAGGCCCACTTGGGGGATGCTGCCTCCAGGGGACCCTGGGTTGTGTCTGGGTGCTGTGTGTGACTGTCCTGGCGTGCAGTGGGTGGAGGTCAGAAGCACTTCCTGAGCATCCTGCATGGTCCAGGAAGTCCACAGAGAATGATGCCACCCAGTGGTCTCTGTAGCAGGAACCAGTCTGGGTCTCAGTGGAACTGAGGTGGCATTTCCTTCCGGAGGTTTTGTGTGCAGGGCCTAGTTGGGTGGGAACCAGGTGGCAGGAAGTGTAAATACGGCCGGGGCTCCAGATGGCTCTACAGATGTTGGGGACTCTGATCGCTAGATTCCTGTCTCTGCATGCTTCTGCCTCTTAGGTCCTTCTGTTTTACATTGTGTCTCTGCTGGTCCCCAACATGGGCTCTTTCTGCTCCCCAACGTGGACTTCCTGTTTTATTTCTTTTCTTTTTTATTATTATTTTTATTTTACGTGTATGCCTGAATGGCCTGCATGTAGGTAAGTGCACCCGTATCATGCAACACCCGTGGAGGACAGAAGAGGCTGTTGGATCCTCTGGAACTGGAGTTACAGACAGTTGTTAGCTACCATGTGGGTGCTGGGATTTGAACCCAGGTCTTCTGCAAGAACAGTTTTCTTAACTACTGGGCCATCTCTCCAGACCTTTATTTCCATTTTTATTTTGAGACAGCGTCTCCCTGTAGCCCCATCTGGCCTGGAACTTACTATGTAACCCAAGCTGGCCTTGATCTCACAGAGATTCACCTCCCTCTGCCCCCTGAGTGCTGGGATTAAAGAAAGGTGTGCACCACTCCCCTCGCCCACAATTCATTTTGATTTTTTTTTAAATCAAAATATCCTATTATTGCTGGGCGTGCGTGGTGGTGCACACCTTTAATCCCAGCACTCGGGAGGCAGAGGCAGGTGGATCTCTGTGAGTTCAAGGCCAGCCTGGTCTACATAGTGAGTTCCAGGACAGCCTGGGGCTACAGGGAGACCCTGTCTGAAAAAGACCAAAAAAAACTTTTTTTATTATTTTTATCCTATGTATGAGTGTATTGCCTGCATGTGTATAAGTGCATCTGTGTCATGCAGTGCCTCCAGAGGTTACAAGAGGGCATAGGAGTCCCTGGAACTGGAGTTCTGGATGATTGTTAGCTACCATGTGGGTGCTGGGAACTGAACCCAGGTCCTCTGCAAGAGCAGCTAGTGCTCTTAACCACTGAGCCAGCTCTCCAGCCCGTTTTGATTTTTTTTTTTTCCTCTTTTTGAAACAGTCTCCCTACTGTAGCCCCAGCTGACCTGGAACTCACTATATAGACCAGGCTGGCCTTGAACTCAGAGAGATCCCCCTGCCTCTGCCCCTAGAGTGCTGGAATTAAAGGCATGTGCACAGCCTTTGTTTTGATTTTTGAGACAAGGTCTCACTTAGCTGTGGCTGGCCTCAAATTCCCAATATAGCCAAGGCTAGCCTTGGTCTTAAGAATCCTCTTACCTCCACCTCTCAAGTCCTAAGACAACAGGTGTGCTACCACACTTAGTTTATACCTTCTTATCTTTTAGACTTTTCCATAGTGGTATTGCCTCTTAAGTAAGAAAGATTCTGAAAAGTGGGGTTGGCATAGGGGACCCATCTTTATTTCCTTTGCAGTTCACGAGCAGTGTCTGGGAGGTTTATCTGCAGCTTTGTTGATGTCCTAATTCATGTATCACGTGACTCATTAGCAGATTTAAGGCATATAAGGCAATATTAAGTGCAGGCCAAGTTGTGTAACCTCTACTCTAATTCTAAAACATCCTATCACCCCATCATGGGCTTTCATCCTGCCCCTTCCCCAATCCCCAGATGCCATGAATTCACTTCCTGCCTCTGAATTGGCCTGTTCTGGATACTTCCTCTCATGGAGTTCCACACTGAATGGACTTTTATTATTATTTTATTTTACGTGTATGCGTGTATTGCCTGCATGTACATAAGTGCACCTGTGGAGGTCAGAAGAGGGTGTCGGGTCCCCTGGAACTAGATTTATGGACAGTTGTTAGCTGCCATGTGGGTACTGGGAATCAAGCCCAGTATTCTGCAAGAGCAGCCTTAACTGCTGAGCATCTCTCCAGCCCCTGTATGGACTTTTATGCCTGGTCCTACTGTGCTTTGGTATGTGTCAGGGTCTCCCTGGCTGAATAGTGCTCCAGCTTGTGGCTACACTTGACTGTGGGCTGCTTGTCCCTCTTGCTCCGTGTGGTCATGAATGTCTTAGCTTTCTGTCAAGGCATCTTCAGTTCTCGCCAGAGTGGGGTTGCAGTTCAGAAAGGGACCGTTTCCCCATTTGACAAGTCACCGCCACCACTGTCTTTCTGTGGCAGCCACACCATGCTACTTTCCCACACATCATTATGTGAGGTTCCTACTATGCTGTACCCTTCTCACCCACTGTTTCTTAACAAGTTTTACTGTGTAACCCAGGCTGGCCCTTAGACTTGTAATCCTCCAGCCTAGTCCTAGAGTGCTGGGATACCAGGTGTACACTACCACACCTGGCAAAGTTTTGCTGTTCTAACTTTGAACAGAATGGTGAGGGCCTCAGCCCTGCACTGGGTGTCCAGGGAACAGATTTCACGTGGCTACAAGGTGCTTCAGAAAAAAAAAGTGCTAGGAATTTAAGGAGTTACTCTTAGTGCTTAGTTAAGTGCAGAGTGCCCAGTGTGATAGCATGTGCCTGTAATCACAGCACTCAGGAGGTAGAGGATCGGAAGTTCAAAGCCAGTGTCCAGTCTACAAAGAGGAGGATCAACTCAGAGGAAATATTTCCTCCATGCTTCCAAGTAAAGCCAGCCATGTTCGAGCAGGACCTTTGACTTATCTTCACATAGATGGAGCTAGTAAAGAAAGGAGCCAGGGCTCCTCCCAAGCCTATGTGACCCCTGAGGAACAGATCCTCAAAGAACCTTAAGTGTAAAAATAAACTGATTTATTAGGGCCAACTGTATGGTCTTAAACACCCAAAAGGAAAGTATAACCAAAGAGTAAAGTGATCAGTATATTCCTTTAAGAGTTCAAGGGATTACAGTTCCCAGACATTAGGCTTAAGTCCATATAAAAAGTTAGAGGGGCTGGAGAGATGGCTCAGTGGTTAAGAGCACTGACTGCTCTTGAAGAGGACCCAGGTTCAATTCCCAGCACCCACATGGTGGCTACGAACCGTCCTTGACTTCAGTTCCAGGGTGATCTGAAGCCCTCTTCTGACCTCCGCATCATTGCACGACACGGGTGCACTTACACACATGCAGGCAATACACTCGTACACATAAAATAAAATTAAAAAAAAATAATAATAAAGTTAGTTAGAGGCCGGGTGTGGTGGTGCATGCCTTTAATCCCAGCACTTGGGAGGCAGAGGCAGGCGGATCTCTTTGAGTTCAAGGCCAGCCTGGTCTACATAGTGAGTTCCAGGACAGCTGGGGCTACAGGGAGACCCTGTCCAAAGAAAAAAAAGTTAGGGGCTGGAGAGATGGCTCAGCGGTTAAGAACACTGGATGTTTCCAGGTTCAAATCTCAGCACCCACATGGCAGCTAACAACTGTCCATAACTCCACTCCAAGGGGATCCGCCAGCCTCTCTGTCCTCAGGCATTGTATGACACTGGTGCACTTACTTACATGCAGGCAATACACGCATACACATAAAATAAAAATAATAAGTAAAATTTTTAAAAAAAAAATTTTAAAGTGCTGTTCAGATGTAAGACTTCAAATCTTAGTCTGCAATACTGTGGTGCCCACCTGTAGCTAAAGAAGAAAACCTACTACTCTTCTAAAATGATGGCTAAATTTGTTTATTCCCCATACCTAGAAGCCTTGGAGAGGGAACTGACACTTATTCTAACCACTCCAACAGCTATCAAACTTGCCAGCTAGCAAATCCTGAATTCATCAGGAATAGTTGCACACACCTTTAATCCCAGTACTCAGGAGACAGGGGTAGGTGGATCTCTGTCTCTGTAAGACTAAGGCCAGCCTGGTCTACATGGCAAGTTCCAGGCCAGGTAGGGGTACACGGAAACCCTGTCTCAAATAAAAGTTGAAAGCCAATCTTGGCTACATAGAGAGCTTGAGGCTAACCTGGGCCACATGAAACTGTCTCAAAAAAGCAATTTTTTTTTTTTTTTGTCTTTTTGAGACAGGGTTTCCCTGTAGCCCCAGCTGTCCTGGAACTCACTATGTAGACCAGGCTGGCCTTGAACTCACTGAGATCTGCCTGCCTCTGCCTCCCGAGTGCTGGGATTGAAGGCGTGCACCACCACACCCCGCTCAAAAAAGCAGTCTATGTACTGCGCATGAGGTAGGCTGCGGTCTTGGGTGAGGCCCACAAAGCACACAGCCCCTCCCCCAACTTCATGACTTCCCCTTTCATCTGCAGCTGCCTCTCCAGCTCCCAGGCCCAGTTTTTCAGTTCAGAACCGCACCCCAATATTTCACAGTCAAGTGGACTCTGACATATGTCCATCTCTGTCCTGGTGAAACATGTGGAATAGGTGTTCAATGACAGAAGACGAGGGCCACTGTCCCTGAGTGTGAGCACAGTGATCACACAGGTGTGTGTTCCATGTCCCAGGCAGGCTCAGCCCCTGTAAGGGCCATCCTGTTGCCAGGTGTGGTGGCACACACTGTTAGTCCCAGCACTCCCGAGCAGAGGCAGGCAGATCTCTGTGAGTTCAAGGTCAGCCTGGTCTACATAGTGAGTTCCAGGCCAGCTGGGGCTGCATAGTGAGACTCTGTCTCAAAACATGAAAAAATAAAATAAGGACTGTCCTACCTTATCAATTTAAGGGAGGCATCCTGAGGAAAAGGGACAGGTCAGGATTCAAATTTAGGCATAGGGACAGTTGATTGATTACTGGCCCTCAGCCACTGTTCATTGATGCCAGCAACAGCCACCAGGCCACCACTTCAGAACTGGAGAGATGGCTCAGTGGTTAAGAGCACTGGCTACTCTTCCAGAACACCTAGGTTTGATTTCCAGCACCTACATGGCAGTTAACAGCTGTCTGTAATTCTAGTGCCTGGGGAATTCAATGCCCTCTTCTGACCTCCACTAGCATTACACGACACAGGTGCACTTATACAAATATAGGCAATACACTCATACACATAAGTAAACAAAAATTTTTCTTTGGTCTTTTTGAGACAGGGTCTCCCTGTAGCCCCAGCTGGCCTTGAATTCACAGAGCCGCTGCCTCTACCACTTGCTGGGACTAAAAGCATGTGCCATCATGTCTGGCTATAAATAAAATATTTTAAAAAACAACAAGCCTGGAGTAGTGGCCACACATTTAATCCCAGCATGTGGGAGGCAGAAGCAGCAGAGGCCAGCCTGGTCTACATAGTGAGTTCCAGGACAGCTGGGGCTACAGGGACACCCTGTCTCAAAAAGACCAAAAAAAGGGGGTGGGGCTAGAAGGTGTGGCTCAGGTAGAGTGACAGCCTAGAATACCCCAGTGAGGGGATGGGCTGTGGGTCAGCCTGTGGCCTTGGGTTCTATCCAGAGAACCAAAGTTACAGACATGACTTTGGAGCTGCCCAGCCCATCCTGGGTGACTTCATCTCAACACCCTTAACTACCTCACAACAGCAAAGTCCCCATCTTCATGTCAGGTTACTTGCAGAGGTTCTAGGTATCTGACATGGTGTCTCTTCACAGAGACCACCGGAGTCCGCTGTCTCCTGTCATTCGTGGCCACACTGGGACCTTAGCAGAGTCAATCTTGTTCCCACAAGAAGCATCTGGAAGCAGGGAGTCTGGCCTGTCAGGCACAGGGGAGTACACAGCTGTGTGGACACCACAGGCTAGAGGCCATCCATCCCTGTGGTATGATCTCATGCCTGGAGGAACCAACCAACCCCCTTTGGTGAAGCCTGACCTTTGTTTCTAGAAAAGTCCAAATGGTCACACAAGTCCTGGGTGACTCATCCTGCAACCCAGGCTGGTCTGGAAATTGGAAACAATCCTTCTGAGTTAGCCTTCTGGAGCCTGGGATTACAGGACTACATTATATACCAGCACCATTTATTGATTATTTTTTTTAATAATTTATTATTTTTATTTTATGTGTATGCATGTATTGCCTACATGTAGGTAAGTGCACCCGTGTCGTGCAATACCCGTGGAGGACAGAAGAGGTTGTCCTGGAACTGGAGTTACGGACAGTTGTTAGCTGCCATGTGGGTGCTGCGAATCGAACTCAGGTCTTCTGCAAGAACAGTCAGTGTTCTTAACCTCTGAGCCATCTCTCCAGCCCCTTGATTATTTTTTTGGGGGGTGGGGTTTGAGACGGTTTCCCTGTAGCCCCAGCTGTCCTGGAACTCACTATGTAGACCAGGCTGGCCTTGAACTCACAGAGATCCGCCTGCCTCTGCCTTCCAAGTGCTGGAATTAAAGGCGTGCGCCACCATGCCCTGCAGATTATTATTTTTTAATTACTTATTTTATGTGTATGAATGTTTTGCCTCCATGCATGTAGGTGTACCACATGTGTGCAATGCCTGCGGAGGCCAGAAGGAAGCATCAGGTCCCCAGGAACTGGAGTTAAGGACAGTTGTTAACTGCCATGTGGCTGCTGGGAACCAAACCTGGATCCTCTGCAAGAGCAGTTAGTGCACTTAACCACTCGGCCAGCTCTGCAGCCTCTATTATTTATTTATTTATTTATTTATTTATTTATTTATTTATTTATTCATTTATTTATTTTTGGGTCTTTTTGAGACAGGGTCTCCCTGTAGCCCCAGCTGTCCTGGAACTCACTATGTAGACCAGGCTGGCCTTGAACTCACAGAGATCCCTGCCTCTCCCTCCTGAGTGCTGGGATTAAAGGCGTGTGCCACCACACCTAGCACCACTGTTATTTTTTGAGAAAGGTTGTCCCTATGCAGCTCAGGCTAACCCTGTTCTGATCCTTCTGCTTCAGCCTCCCCAGTACTGGGATGACAGGCTGAGTGTCAGCTTCTGACATCCTGACTTTGTCCTGTCTCTTGTCTTACAGACCACAGGGAGGATCTCAAGGCTCCACACATTTCTCCAAGGTGACCTGACACAGGCTATCATCCTGTCCTAGTCTCTGCCCTGTGTTTCTGGCAGGTGCCACCGAGATGTCAAACCCCTTCCTGAAGCAGGTTTTCAACAAGGACAAGACATTCCGGCCCAAGCGCAAGTTCGAGCCTGGCACCCAGCGCTTTGAGCTGCACAAGCGGGCACAGGCGTCACTGAACGCGGGGCTAGACTTGCGACTGGCTGTGCAGCTGCCGCCGGGCGAGGACCTTAATGACTGGGTGGCCGTCCACGTGGTGGATTTCTTCAACCGTGTCAACCTCATCTATGGCACCATCAGTGACGGCTGCACCGAGCGCTCATGCCCGGTCATGTCTGGGGGTCCCAAGTATGAGTACCGCTGGCAGGATGAGAGGCGCTTCCGCAAGCCCACCGCACTGTCTGCACCCCGCTACATGGACCTGCTCATGGATTGGATCGAGGTGCAGATTAACAATGAGGAGGTCTTCCCCACCAACGTCGGTGAGTTGGGCCATGGTCCTGGAGGGTCCCAGCCAGTCCAGGGTCCCCAAGCTCCAATGATGAACCAGCCCTGGGCTGAGAGGATTGGACAGATTCAGCTTTCTCGTTGTTTGAGATACTGTCTCATGTAACCCAGCCTGGCCCCAAACTTCCTACATACCCCAGAATGAGCCAGAACTCCTGATCCTCCTCCCTCTACCTCCTGAATGCTGGGATGAACTCAGGGTCTTCTGTGCTAGGCAAACCCACTACTCACTGAGCCCTAGCCCTTTTCATTCTGGCTTTTTTTTTTTTGTCTTTTTGAGACAGGGTCTCCCTGTAGTCCCAGCTGGCCTAGAACTCACTATGTAGACCAGGCTGGCCTTGAACTCACAGAGATCCCTGCCTCTCCCTCCTGAGTGCTGGGATTAAAGGCGTGTGCCACCACGCCCAGCTCTGGCTTTTTATTTTTATTTTTTTAAAGATTATAGTTTTACAATGTAGGATATATCTATATATATATATATCTATATATATATCTATATATGAGTGTTCACCTGCATCTATGTAAGTGCACCACATCTATACAATGCCCACAGAACAGAAGAGGGTGTCAGATCTCCTGAAACTGGAGTTAGCTGGGAACTGAACCTGGGTCCTCTGCAAGAGCAGCCAGTGTGGGCATTATACACACATGGTACACTTACATATAAGCAGATAAAACACTCATACATAAAAAATTAAAATAAGTAAATCAAAAAATTTTAAATTATATTTATTCATGTATGTGTATGTTTGTATATGTGTCCATGTGTTTGCCATGCTGTCCTTGTAGGACTCAGGATAACTTGTAGGACACAGCTCTCTCCCAGGGTCCCAGGGATGGAACTCAAGTCATCAGGCTTGGTGGGCAGCTCCTTAACCTGCTGAGTCATCTCACCCCAGCCCAATTTAAAAAAAAAATTTTTTTTTTGAGACAGGGTCTCCCTGTAACCCCAGCTAGTCTGGTACTCACTATGTAGACCAGGCTGGCCTTAAACTCACAGAGATCCACTTGTCTCTGCCTCCCAAATGCTGGGACTAATGGTGTGCGTCACCATACCTGGCTCCAATAAACATTTTTAAAAAAGGGTTTTGCTATGTGTTCATAGCAGTCCTTCTGCCTTGGCTTCCAGGGTTCTGGGATTACATGTGGTGCCATCGCACCTGGCTATGTGTAACTTTTTGCTGTCTTTTGTTTATTTTTGAGACAAGAACTCACTGTGTAGCCCAAACTGGCCTTGAACTCACCGTGTAGACCAGCCTGCCCTTGAACTCACAGAGATCCACCTGTCTCTGGCTCCCAAGTGCTGAGTGTATTGGCCACTTTTATGTTGCTGTGATAAAACATCATGACTAGGGCTGCTTAGAGAAGGAAGAGTTTATTTGGGCTTATGGTTCCAGAGGGATAAGAGTTTATCATGACAGGGAGGTACAGCAAGAGCAGAGAACCGAGAGCTCATATCTTCAAATACAGGAACAGTGAGAGGAACTGGAAATGGGGCAAGGCTATGAACTCTCAAAGCCCACCCCAGGGGAGGAAGTGATGGACTTTTGGGGTCCAGACACTGGTCTCCTTGGAGTACAGCACCCTTGGCTTGTGGCCCCATCCACCCTCTTCACAGCTAGCAGCACAGTACAGCGTCTCCCATTCTCTGCCTCTCACCCTGCTGCCTCCCTCTGAGGACCCAATGGTGACACTGGGCCCCAAATGGTCCAAGAGTTCCCTCAGCTCAGGGAGGTCTGTGTGTGCTGAGTCCCTTCTTCTACTGGAGGAGATACATCCACAGGCTTTGGGGACCAGGACGTAGTTGTCTTTGGTGACTCATTCAGTGACCCAGGACTGGAGGGCACAGGGCTGCCGCTGTCTCAGCTTCTAGACTCTTGACCTGGGCACCCTGCTTCTCTTTATGATTTGCTCTTCCTCTCCACTCAGGGCTGGCCATGGTGCACACTTGGTGACGCAGGCTGGATCATCGACTGATCCTGTATCCAAGGACATACACAAACTCAAACATTCATGTGCTGCAGTTGCCTCCCTTCAGGCCTGCAGAGCTCAAAAGACAGAAGTCCTAGCTGGGAGTCAGACCTAGGGCCAGACAGGGAGACCAGGATGAGCTGCAGAGTCGGCTTAGCAGCAGTTAGGCTGCTCTTGCAGAGGACCTGGTTAGCCACCTACATGGTGGCTAACAGCATCCATAACTCCAGTTCTAGGGGATCCAGTGCCTTTTTCTGACCTCCAAAGGCATTGCACACACGTGAATGATGCACTTACATACAGGCAACACACACACATAAAATAAAAAGTAAGCAAAAAATTTTAGAAGACCAGGGTGAAACTGGAGGTCCCTCATGGCACATCCAGGCACCTTCCTGTGGCATTTGGTACTTGCTTGGGAGGAACTCCTTGTGATTGAAACCTAGGCTGTGTGATGTGGGGCAAGTGCCTTAACCTCTCTGATCCCCATCGCTTCTCACATCTGTGACTCAAGGTGTAGCACAGTCTCCAGGCCTGGTAGCCTAGGATAGAATGGAGGTCTCAGGCTGACTTGCCATGAATGGCCTCCTTCCTGACCCCTCTGTCCACTTCCAGGCACCCCATTCCCCAAGAATTTCCTGCAGACAGTGCGGAAGATCCTGTCGCGGCTCTTCCGTGTGTTTGTACACGTCTACATCCACCACTTTGACCGCATCGCACAGATGGGCTCCGAGGCCCACGTGAACACCTGCTACAAACATTTCTACTATTTCGTCACTGAGTTCAGCCTCATCGACCCCAAAGAGCTGGAGCCCCTGGTGAGCACTGGGTAGTGGGAACCCAAGTCTCAGCAGGAGGTCAGAAGGTGATGGGAGCCTGCACACCCATTGTCCCCACTATGGACTTCTAGTTCATTCTCCCTTCAGAGCCCAAGCCAGGCAGATTCAGGTACCACCCACCCAGATCACCCAAGGCAGTACAGCCAGTATGGCCTGCCAAGGCCAGAGGGGTGACAGCTGAGTAGCCACCCAGGCACCGGGACCACATGGGGTAGGTCCCTCAGCAGGTGTGTCCCCCATAGCCAGCCCCCTGGGCCTGGCCGGAAGACAAAAGGCCTGGATTCTCCAGTCTTCCCCCCCAGGATCACCCCTGAGTGGCTCACGCTGAGGTGCAGAATAGCCTGAAGTTGGCTAACTTATAACCCCCTCTGTAGCTGACACTAGCCTAGAACTTGAGATGATCCTCCTGCCTCAGCCTCCTAAGTGCTGGGACCATAAACCCGTGCCACCGTGCCCAGCCTCAGCCTGTGGTCTTTTTAAAATTTAGTTTTATTGCATTTTTATTTATCTATGTTGTGTGTGTATGTATATATGTGCACACACATACGTGTGTGGAGATCAGAGGACAACTTGCAGGAGTTGGTTAGTTCTCTCCTTCCACTATTTGAGTTCTGGGGATTGAACGCAGGTCGTCAGGCTTGGTGGCAAGCACCTTTGCCCACTGAGCCCTCTCACCAGCCTTCATAGCCTGGTTTTGTAGTTTTTGTTGTTGTTGCTGTTCTTTAGCTTTTCTGAGACAATCTCAGGTAGCCCAGGCTGGCTCTGGACTCCACCGCCCAAGATCTGGGATGGCAGATGTGCACTACCACCCCTGGCTCCTATGAAGTGTTTGTTTTTCTCTTTTCTACTGCCAGCCTTTCTATGAATAGTGGTATGTGTCCCACTCCCCAGACGTCTGGTGGGCTTAAGACACAGGGCATTAATATCCGGCCCCCAAATCAGAAACATGGACTTTCTGGCTATCACCCAGAAACATTCCTGCCCTGGCCTTTTTGTTCAGTTTCTTGCCAGTTTGGGGTTCTGTGAGGCTGTAGCTCCATCTCCACAGGCCCCTGTTCCCCTGTGTGTTCCACCGTGCCTCTTGTCTGAGTTTGATACCCTCCTGCCTGCTCTTACAGAAGGAGATGACCTCACGGATGTGTCACTGAGGGCCATCACATCCCCCCGAGACTCCCAGGGATGGCTGAGGAGGATGGCTGAGGAGTCATATCCCCACTGCTTGAATCTGAAACTGTGGTCCTGGGACGCCATTGCACTGCCTGGAAGTCACTGGGAGAGTCTGAGCCTTCTGACTGCGACGTACATGGACGCTGGATGTGAACTCTAGAATGCACTGTGCTCACCACTGAGTTTACACTGTGTGTGCCCCACAGTCACCCATGAGAAGCAGGACCTGGAGTCACTGTCCCTTCTTCATGTCTATCCCCATTCTGCACCCTTCTGCATGACCTTGGCTCTTGTGGCTGTGACTTTTCCCCCCACCTGCCAGTCTGGGGAGGTAGCTCCAGGTCCCCTCACCACCTCAGAGCCACATTCTATGTTGATGACTGTATGGGAGCTGTCCAATCTCCCAAGAGGTACAACTGGGTGCCACCCCCATCCCCCAGTGCTCACTGCACTTCTGGTCCTCCATTGTCTCTAGGACATCCATGCACTCTGTCTAAGGCTTTTGGATCCTGTGCCTTTCATCAGCATGCCTGGTGTTGTGTGTCCTGAGGTCCTTCCCATACTTGGAAAATATTCAGCTTTTGCCAAAGCTTGGTGACCCATGCCTGTCTTCCCAGAACACATGCAGGAGAATGGCTCAAGTTCAAAGCTAGCCTAGTCTACACAGGTTTCAGGCCAGTCAGGGCTGCAATAAAGATTGTCTCCTTGGGCGTGGTGGTGCATGTCTTTAATCCCAGCACTGGGAGGCAGAGGCAGGTGGATCTCTGTGAGTTCAAGGCCGGCCTGGTCTACATAGTGAGTTCCAGGACAGCTAGGGCTACAGGGAGACCCTGTCTCAAAAAGACCAAAAGAAAAAAAAAAAAAAAAGATTGTCTCAAGGGCCAGGTGTGGTGGCACACGCCTTTAGTCCCAGTGCTGAGGCAGATCACTGTGAGATTGAGGCCAGCCTGGTCTACATAGTGAGTTCCAGGCCAGCTGGGGCTACAAGGAGACCCTGTCTCAAAAAGACCTAAAAAAAAAAAAAAAAACAAGAAGGAAAGAGAGAGGGGGTGGCGGAGTAAGGAAGAAGGAACAGGGTGTGGTGGGGTACATCTGTAACCCGAGTGTTGAAGAGGCAGAGACAGGGGGATCTCTGGGGTGAGCTTGGGGTTCAGTGAGACCCTGTGTCAGAAACTACGGTGGGGACGAGGGGAAGCATACTCAGTGTGGACCTCTGGCCTACAAATGACAAGTGTGTACATCAAAACCCACAGATGTGACCAAACAAATTCAATGACTTAAAAGATTGCTGTCACTTTTTTTAAGATTTTTTTTTTTAAAGTCTCACTGTATAGTCCAGGCTGGCCTTGATCTCAGAGAGGTCTACCTGCCTCTGCCTCCTTAGTGCTGGAATTAAAGGTGTGTGCCCCAAGCCCCCACTTTTAATTCTTTATATGTGTGTTAGTTTGTGCAAGTGCAGTGCCTGCCAAGGGCAAAAGAGGGCATCAGATTTCCTGGGGCTGAATTACAGGGTTGGGATCCCCATGTGTGTGCTGTGAATCAGACTCTGGTCCTCTGGAAAAACAGTAAGTGCTGTTTACCACTGCGCCACCTTTCCAGCCCCCAATTATTTTTTAATTTCTTGAAGCAGGATCTCCTTGCAGACCTGGAACTTGCTGTGTAGATCATGCTGGCCTCCATCTCACTGAGATCAGCCTGCCTATGCCTCCTGAGAGCTAGGATCAAAGGCATGTGCCACCACACGTAGCCATCTTGAGATTTTTTTGTGTTTCTTTGCTTTTGTTGTTTTGTTTTTTTGACAGGGTCTCTCTAGACCCAACCTGCCTGGAAGTCACCATGTGGACCAGGCTGACCTGGATCTCACAGAGCTCCACTTGTCTCTGCCTCTGGAAGGCTGAGTTTAAAGGCGTGCACCACCACACCCAGTGTATTTTGAGATTCCTTAAAGAAAATTTTTAGCTGGTTTCTGGTGGGCTGTCCTCTTTGGATCAGCATAGGATCTATTTGGACAGCCCAGGAAGAGTTCCCGTGTGACCTTTACTGTCTGCTTAGGGCTCTGGGGTTCCTTGTCGGGTGGGTGGCCCAAAGCTTTGTTTCTTGAGTGACTGATACTCAAACTAAACTTTTTCTGTGTGTGTGTGTGTGTGTGTGTGTGTGTGTGTGTGTGTGTGTGTTCCTGTGGGGCCACAGGACCAAACTCCAGCAGCCCCCTCCCTCCCACAACCTGCCCCCAGCTCCCACCCTTGCCCCCACACCTCTTCCCCGGAGACCCCGCACCATCAGGATCCTGGGAATTCTAGGGTCTTTCTTCACCATATCTGGTAGGCAACCACTGAAAAAGTACTTCAAGGACTCCCTCAAGGCTCCAGGTCCTGTGTTCAAGCCCCAGAAGGACCCAGAGCCAGCTCTCTAGGCTTCACTGAATGTATCTCCCACCCACACCTCTGTTGCCACCATCCGCACATCCTGCACACCAGCCCAGGGAAGAGGCCCACAGGGGTGGGGTGTCCTCACCACCACACTGCATCCCACCCTCAACACAAGTGTCACAATAAACCCTGTCATCTTAGAACTCATTGCTACTGTCATTCATTGTTTGTTTTTGGTCTTTTTGAGACAGGATCTCCCTATAGTCCTAGCTGGCCGGGAACTCGCTATGTAGACCAGGCTGGCCTCAAAGTGCTGAGACTAAAGGTGTGTGCCACCACATAACAAGGTCAACAGGGTCCAGTGACAGGGACCAAACTGTCCCACCCCAAACAATCCAGGGAGCCTGCAAGAATTTATCAGCACAGAGAGATTTGAGATTGTGGCTGGCAAGTTTATGTTGTTGTTTTTTGTCTTTTTGAGACAGGGTCTCCCTGTAGCCCCAGCTGACCTGAAACTCACTATGTAAACCAGGCTGGCCTTAAACTCACAGAGATCTGCCTGCCTCTGCCTCCCGAGTGCTGGGATCAAAGGTGTGCGCCACCATTCCCGGCTTAATTTATTTTTTTAATTATGTGTATGAATGCATGTATGTAAATGCACCCATGTTATGCAATACCCACAGAGGCCAGAGGAGGGTGTCAGATCCCCTGGAACTGGAGTTATGGATGGTTGTTAGCGGCCATGTGGGTAGTGGGAACCAAACTCAATGTTGTTTACCTCTGAGCTGTCTTTCCAACCTTTTCTTTCTTTCTCTCTTTCTTTCTTTCTTTCTCTTTCTTTCTTTCTTTCTTTCTTTCTTTCTTTCTTTCTTTCTTTCTTTCTTTCTTTTCTTTTTTGTTTCTTTTCTTTTTTGTTTTTGGCCTTTTTTGAGTCAGAGTCTCTCCGTAGCCCCAGCTGACCTGGAACTCACTATGTAGACCAGGCTGGCCTTGAACTCACAGAGATCCACCTGCCTCTGCCTCCTGAGAGCTGGGATTAAAGACATGTACCACCACACCCAGCCCTTCCAACTTTTTTCTTGTTTTTTTAGACAGGGTCTCCCTTGTAGCCCCATGTGGCCTGGAACTCCCTATGTAGCATAGGCTGCCCTCAATCTCACAGAGATCCACCTGCCTCTGCCTCCAAGTGCTGGGATTAAAGGTGTGCACCTCCACACCCAGCCTATTTGTTGTTTTTATTTTATTGTGCGAAAGTGTGCGATGCATGTGCAGGTGTGTGTGCCATAGTGCTCACCCAGTGGTCAGGGAACAATTTTTAGAAGTTGGTTCTCTCCTTCCACCATGTGGATTCTGAGGATTGAACTCAGGAGGTCAGGCTTGAGAGGCAAGTGCTTTTTACTCACTGAGCCATCTTGCCAGCCAATGGCATTTAAATTCCGTGGATGAAGGAAGACAAGAACAGAAACATCTAGAAAGAGTAGGTTGAGGGGAGCTAGCAGATGAAGGGCCTCGTGGGTTCTCGATTTCTTTGGTGAGAATTACTTCCTGCTCATTCTAAGCACCTTGTTTACTTTCTGAACAAAAAGAAAGCAGAAAAGTTTATGAGCCAAAGAATAGAGTCAGAGGCTTCAGGCCCAAGTTTGTGTTCTGCACCCTCTAGCCAGTGTGCTGGCCTTAGAACAGGAACTGATTTAAACTAGTAGTCTATCATCTATTTATATGGGAGGAACCAAGGGTTCCCACATTCTATGGTGTCACTCTACCCCTGAGCACCCTCACTGGGGGATTCTAGGCAGGGGCTACACCCTTGAACCAGACCCCAGCCCTCTGTCTTACATGAATATCATGCAGTTTTGACAACCAACCATCTCAGAATCTCTTCTCACACCATACTATATTATTGTTCTAGATGCCAGAATAAGGGGCTTTCGTTGTTTACAGAGATTTCTCTGTGCAGCCTGAATGGCCTGTAAACTGTAGATTCCCTACACTACAACTCACAACAACCCCCTGCTTCAGCCTCCCAAGTGCTGCGATGGGGGATGACAGTCTGCACCATGTGCCCTGCTGGAGCTGCATAAGATATTTGGATTTCTTCAGTGTGGGTTGTAGGAAAGAGGGGCATCAAGGCTCTCAGAAGCCTGGGTAGCAAGCCAGGTGTGGTGGCACACGTCTTTAATCCCAGCACTCGGGAGGCAGAAGGCAGGCGGATCTCTGTGAGTTCAAGGCCAGCCTGGTCTACATAGTGAGTTCCAGGACAGCTGGGGCTACAGGGAGACCTTTTCTCAAAAAGACAAAAAAAAAAAAATCAAAGAAACAAAAAAAGAAGCCTGGGTACCAAGCTGCCTGCAGCCCTGGCACCCTTAGGACTCAGTTGCAATGCCGACTATTATCCCTAGATGGCGCTACGTACTAAGAAAGGATAGAAACCTCTGGCTGCAGTTGAGGCCACTAAAAACTTCCAAAGCTTTCCCTTTCCTTGCTTCCCTAGCCTGGGAAAGAGACAGAGCTGAGAACAGAGTCCCGATTTATTAAACTCACTGCTTATACCATGCACCAGAGGGAACATGTGCAAACATGTACGAGGGAGCATGGCAACTGCAGAGTCCAACCCCGCCCCCAGGAGTCTTCTCTTTCTTCCCATATGACCTGGTGCCCTGAGTCTCATATGACGTTGGCCCAGGTTGCAGGTGGCCTTCATAGTCACTTCTAGAGATTGTGTTGGGGAAGGTTCCATTACTTTACTTTGTGTTTTTGTTGTTGCTGTTGCTTTTTTTTTTTTTTTTTTTTTTTTTTTGTTTTTTGTTTTTGGGGGTTTTTTTTTTTTTTTGGTTTTTGGTTTTTTTTTTTTTTTAAGAAAGGGACTCCCTGTAGCCCCAGCTGTCCTGGAACTCACTGTGTAGACCAGGCTGGCCTCAAACTCACAGAGATCCGCCTGCCTCTGCCTCCCGAGTGCTGGGATTAAAGGCGTGCGCCACCAACGCCCGGCCCCCCCAAAATTTTTTTAAATATTTTTATTTTATGTGTATGAGTATATTGCCTGCATGTATATAAATGCACCCATGTGATACAGAAGAGGGCATTGGATCCCCTAGAATTAGAGTTGCACATGGTTGTTAGCTACCATGTGGGTGCTGGGACTCAAACTTAGATCCTTTCTGAAAGAGTAACCAGTACTCAGTGCTTTTTTTTTTTTTTTTTTTTTTTTTTTTTTTTAGACAGGGTCTCCCTGTAGTCCCAGCTGGCCTAGAACTCACTATGTAGACCAGGCTGGCCTTGAACTCACAGAGAGCCACCTGCCTCTACCTCCCGAGTGCTGAGATTACAGGTGTGCATGCACT